AACTAGCTGTGCTGATCCACAACAGCAAAAACCTATGAATTCCTGCACCAATGCCCCTCCTCATATCTGTTAGATTTTTCCATTTAATTTTTCTTGAAATACTGGAACCAAGCTGTTTTTAAAATCGAAACATGATTCCCAGAAATAGAAAGGAAACCATTTCCAAGACAAATAAGCACCTGATCTAATTCAAATTCCATGCCACACTCAAAGTTACATGCTCTTGCTGGTGTTGAGATTTCAGCATTGACACAAGTCTGAGTAGAAATAGCTTACAAATTATCCAGCCTGTGCATAAGAAGTCAGCGTGCACCTAGTGAGTGCTTTCTAAGGGGTGGGGGAAAACGAGTGTTAATTTTGGTCAAGACTAGCATATCAGAAGCTGAACATTCACCATCAAAGTATTACTTTTCATTCCAGTTTCACAAGTTCAGTCATTTTTCTGATAATTTTTCTCACCATGAACAATTTTTCACTTTTTTCCCCCCAGTAGTCTGGATTGCTGACAAGTCTCTGAACCAAGTATTTTGACAGTCTTCATGCCAACAATCACTTGATGCACCGCTTAACCAGTATTAAGTCCCTAACTATAAGTTCTCACATGTGGACATGAGAATTACTTGGACATTTCTACTGCCATTCACTATACAACAGAGCAAGAAAAACCATTAAGAAATCTGGGCAACACTGTTTAAACAGATACTAATAACCAGCTCACCTCCATGCATCTTCTCAACCACTTGAAAGTCAGTAACTCATACATACTCAAAGCAAACTACCTGATCTTTAGCTCTCTGGACTGCATCACAGGCAAGAAGCCAAATATGTTGTATAGCAGTCTCTTTGGAGAAAAAGCATCATGTTTCAATCTTTGCATCCACTGATCCATTAGATACACAGCATGAGATGAACAAACTGAAAAAAAGGTTCTCCCAAAGGTACTACCTACAGAAGTTACAAGCAGCAGCACCACTTCTAGTAAAAATACTAGCGACTTTGTAAGCAAGTTGTTCTTACTTCAGAAAAGCAAAAGTGAACTCTGTATGTGTCAACTGATGCCCGAACAAAACCAAAACAAATTAGCTCTTCTCCCCCCAGTTCTGAAAAACAAAACAAAACACACAAGTTTTTAATATTTCATTTCTTCTAAACAGCTCCAGTTTCATTGTACTTTGATTACATACAATGTACTGTACCCTTACATATGATACTCTGTTATATGTTTCTAGGAGAGGACAGTTAGCTCACAGTAGGCTTAAAGGTGAGTGGCAACGGACAACAAGTCAGCTTTGTCCCTTTTTCCCAACAAGGAGTAAGACACACAGTAATCTCCTAGCTCCCAAAAAGCTGCAGTTCAATAGAAGAGACTAGAACTAGCCACAGTAGGGCAAGCTTTTACTATAGTCCTAGACGATTAACCCACATGCTTCCTGACACTTGCTTAAAATCTGCTACAGTAGCTTTCTCCTGGTCCCGAGGGAACCTCAGCTCAAACATAACCCACTAGGCAAACAAAGCTCAAGGCAAGCCTTAAATTAATGACAGTGGGCAATAAGAATAGAATAATAACTTTACAACACCCCCCAAGAAAACCAAACAAAACAAAAAAAAACCAAAAAAACCCACCACCACAAAAAAAACCCCAAACACCACAATGCCAAACTCCACCAAAACCAAAACAAAAACCTAAACAAAGTACTACATATTATTGATAACTACTGGAGCAGAAATACATTCTTCCAACAGCTACCTAGAGGCTAGCTCATATGCAAGTCATTCTTAAAGGACCCTAAGGATAGAGTAAAACTAGCAGTTCTGTAGTCCTGTCAACTATACATTTCAAGTATATAGACACCACAAGAACTTAAGTTATGTTTCTATTACAGCTAAAGATATTATCAGCTCATTTTCAGCATTATTTCACATGCTATTGTTACACCTTAGGAGAGTTTAGCAAAGCACTCAAGACCTCTTCATCTAAGAAACTGGGGAAGTGTTGTGACAGATGCAAGAAAAGAATCATGTCAAGAAATGCCTTTGCAGAGTAACAGAACTCCTTTGGCAGAGCTTTTTGAAGGCTTTCCAACTCCCCTGAAGGCAGGAACCCTGCCCAGCTGGACTGCTGCAGAAGCTAACACTAACGTGTTTCTGGAGAACTCCAGTGTAATCAGGGGATGGCTCTAGGTCTACCTCCAGAGACATAAAGCAAGTGCAGGCCCTGCTTTGAGATCAAAACTCCTCAATGCTAAGAGTGTTTGGAAGGGGCTCTAGTATCCTGAAGTCTGATTGAACCAATCCGGCAGCATCCCTGTAAAGCCAACAGACAGCCTGGAGTTGTTTAACATCTCTCAAGGTTGCCCTTCAGGAAATGTACCCACACGTGCCAGGGGGAAGCTGACCTCAGAATTGTTCTTTACCAAAAATACCACTGCATTGACAGGGCATTCCCATACTTCAGCATAAAGCCACAAACTGAACCTCAGAACTGAATAGTTAAGGGTGGTGAGATGAAAGAGGACTTCCTTCAGGTTTTAGAAGGATGAAGGAAAGAACCCAGAATTAGCAACAGATTTCATTAATAAACACTGGTTTAGCAAAGACTACTCTGTTCCCAGTTTCAGAAAGAGGCTACCACTGACAGATGCCACAGAGACCTCTCCCAAAGTTTTCAGACAGTTCACTTTCGCATAGTGCATTAAATACTAAGTTAAAAGACAAGCATTTCTACCGACTGCAATTCCAGCTCTTAAAGTTTTCTATAGCCTAGAATGTGTTGATACTCTGAAATCAGACACTGCTGAAGCTTCAAAAATTATTAAAAAATATGCTTATAACTGTAGCCAGTAGGGGTCATTTCAGTGTAAAAAATTGCAGTGGAAGAAAAAGCTAGAGACAGGAAGGAGAGTAAAAACATAAATTTCTACTCACAGTTCTGTAAGTCACTTCCATTTCCTCCTCCCTGAACAGGGGTAGGAAAGGGTTTGCACTCCCAGTAGACAGAATTTTTAAAAGTAGCCTTTATTCCGTTAATGGATAAAGGCATGGCTTAGTTCTACTCACAGATCAGTCTAGCCTGTTGCACGTGTGCCTGTAAAATTTGTTTAGGTCACAACAATCAAAATAACTGAAGCAACTGACCTCTTTCCAGTGATCAGAGGTAGTACATGAAGTCCCCTTTCTTCCTTGCTGCTACCTCTCTTGCATAACATGCACCATGAAGAACTGCATTACTTCTGTTGCTTAGAAAGAGGCAGTTGCCTGAGAATTCAATAATAGTATTCCAGGACTATTTATAAGGCTGACAGTTCAGCTCAGTTGCTTTTCATTTACAAGAATGAAAATTAAATAGATAACTTATCTCCCTGGCTATTCCTATAGGGACAGCTGGAACTAGTTCCTAACCACAACACTAATTGAAATGCAATCTTGCCAACAAATGCTTCATACTATTTTCAACAGTAGATGGGACATGTTACGAGTTGAACTGCAGCAACGTACAGATTGCATCACTTCAAAGGAATGAAATACTCCTATACTGCCAGAGACGTCCGTACTGTGATACAGTAAGGGAGTGGGAACATTAAGGCATTTAATGACTGCAGGCTTTTAGTTCCTTTAACCAGGGGCAGGACGGGGAGCTGTTTAAGCCAAGCTGTTACTTGAAAACATGCAACAAGAGAAACTCATCCAAAACTAAGTGCTTCTACTTTTCTATTTAAGAGAACTGCTCCAGCACTTCATTAAAAATAGTGAGAGACTACAACATTCGGCAACATGGTGTCAACCAAGGTCTTGAAAGTAGTTTAGGGCCATTTTTAAGTGTTTAACAACAGAGCTTTTAACCCTGGAGCTGGTCCTACCCAAGCAACAACTGCAGAGGCTGATGGCATCGGTTACAGACCAGGCAGGACACGCTGCTCTGCTTTGCTGTGGTTTGCAATTTATTCATAAGGGAGGCAAATGGAGTTTAAAACGAGGAGCTCAGGAACAAAGGTCAGCTGCCCACTAAAAATGACTGGTTTTAGCTCACTCTTAACAGTGCATCATTTTAAATGCGAGGTTTTTTGGACAGATGCTGCCACCCCAGCTCTCTGGACTTTCTGCTGCCCTCTACCCGCCGAGGGGAGACCGCCTCCCGCTCCTTTTCCAGAATTGTCGAAGCTCCCGCTCCCAGACTCACATACATTTACACACATCCCAAACTAGTGGTTATTTGTAACCTCTTTACAGCGCCATGTTTTCCCTCAACTTGGAGGAAAAGGGAGCTGGATGGAAAAGAAGAAAAGATTCTAAAAATGTGTCTTTGGCATTTTGTGAGTTATATTTGTGAAAAACAAAATCTGAGATACTCTGACAGATACCGAATTTGAAAGGGGGGGGGGGTGGTGAAGTCCTCTTGCAGTTCATAGCGACTAATCAGGCTGCAGGAAGCAGAAGTGACTTAGAGAGGAGTTCTGCCGTAGGAATTTCTCCCTCCCCCTTGATGCTCCAGCAGGGAAAAGGCATCCCTTACCATCACACAGCAAATAGGACAGGCGGGGAGATATTAAGTGACAGGAACAGGAAGGAAAACTTGACAACAGATGATCAGCCTTTGTGTTTCCTTACAGAGGAGGCAATCCGGAATAGGCATCATGTGTGCGCACGACTGACCTCCGCAGATTGCCATCTGCCAAACCTTTCCTTTATCGAGGAATTTTCCTCAGGCATCAGATCGTATTAGCTATTAGTAAACCGGTGAAGCGCTATGGAAAGGGAGAAGAGACTGGAAGTTCAGGCTAAGCAAAAGAAAGGTAAAAGTTTTAAAGAGAGGGGTTGAGGGAGTAAAGCTTACGAGACACACTTGCGGATCGGATCGGACAGGCGGGCGGCGGGGAGAGAAGGAGGAAGCACCGGCGCGTTCCCTCCCCGCCCCCCCGCGGGTCCCCCACCCGAGGAACGGACGGACGGACGGATGAATGGATGGATGGATGGATGGATGATGTCCCGCCGCCTCTCACCTTCACAGACGCCCACTTCGTACTCGGTGATGGAGTCCCCGTTGAGCGGAGGTCGGATGACACAGCGCAAGCCCCGGTCGCAAGCTCCGTGCAGCCCGTAGACTCCCCCGCAGCTTTCGTTGCGTTGCCGAGCGCACATGAAACAACAACCGCAGATCCCCAGCACGATGCTACCGGGGCAACTCTTCGGCTCTTCGCATTTGGATTCGTCGCAGGGTAAGCAGACCAGAGCCCGCGTCCCCGACTCGCCCAG